ATCAGAGCTTCAGGTCTCCTCAGAAAATAGCTGGATTTCATTAAAGGCAAGGAAGCAGAGGGGGTCCTCAGGCAATAGGTTGAAAATATGAGGAAAGGTGAGTGTCACTGGCTATTGAGCAGCAGTTCGAGAGAGAACAGCAAAACAGTTTGAGAAGTGAGGAAATACAGAACACCGGTTCAAGAGTAAGGAAGCAGCAAGCACCATGGGGACTTCGTTTAAGCTTTGACTGATTAAAAAGGAAGTAGAAGCATGGAGGATCTGGTCTCAGTAATCTCTTTGAGGAAGGTAGCCATCCATCCCAGTAGCTAGAAGAATTAACTCATTTGACTGAGATGATGGTGGATGCAGAATCCGTAGATAAAAATAGCTGCTTGATGAGCTTCATTTATCGAATGAATATTATGTACCAAGTAGTGTTTGCATTTATTTCATTAAACCTTACAACAGCCTTGTGAGTTAAGTGTCACTATTCTAATTTTACAAATGAGGAAATTGAATCTTAAAGAGACTAAGATGGCAAAGCCAGAATCCAAATTTTAACAGAGGTTGCTACCAGTGGTTCATGAACAGTAATAGACCAAAAACGTACTTTGAATGTTTTTTTGGCCTGTGTATTTTGAAAGGAAATACGTACAGCTCAGCAGCTAGAGGAATTATACCTAGCGCACCGTACTTGTTTTGAATGTTCCTGGATGACTCCTGTGGGCATCTAAATTTGCTAGCCTTGTTTAAACTAGATATGTCTGACTCCATATTTTGCATACTCTAAAGTATCCATTTCTGGCCATAACAGAGTAACACCCTAAACAACTCTAAAATTGGACAAAATATGTACAGCCACTGCTTTCAGGTGCACAAGCAATGCAGGATCATGATCCTCAAGGGAAGGAAAATACATGAGGTGAATTTCACCTTTCCCCTGGACTGCTAGCTGGGAGCAATTTCCAGATGATTGAGTATGGAGGTGAAGTACAAGCAAAGGACAACAGTCTCACTGAGCTAACGAGCCAGGGGTCAGAGCTTGGAGCTACTGAAGCAGCTGGAATGTGTGCATGATAGGTCAAGAGAAGAAGCAAGTTGACAGAAGAGGAGTCCTGAAGTCTTAATGGGGGTATCTGGTGGGTTACTGGACAAAGGCTGGGCTATGTATACACAGGATAAGACTCCACAAGGCCCAGTAAAGAGTAAATAATGCAGGACCAAGAGCTGACCAGAGACAAGAGAGAGATGTTGGGGCTGAGAGATGTTGAATTTCTAGTCCAGCCAGTTTTGACAGACCTTGTTGATAACCCTGGATATTAAGTTGAAATTTCAAAAATGTCATGTTATGTCAAGGACCATGACCTTAAGTAAAAGCCACACTCTAAGAATAAGGAAGGCTGAAATTCCTAGAATTGGTGATGAACAGAAACCTATAGATGCAAGAAGCCCAGCAAACTCCAAGTAACGTAAACTAAAAAGAAAGTAAAAGAAACTAAAAAGAAAACCAAAATCAAACCAAGGTATATTACAAACTACCAAAGAGAAAATATTAAAAGGAGCTATAGAAGAAAAAAGACATTAAGTTCAGGAAAACAAGGTTTTATCCTTGTTTTCATTTTTATATGTCTGATTTTCTATCATAAACAATAGAGGATAGGAAACAAGGGAATGTCATCTTAAAATGCTAAACAAACAAAAAAAGTCTAAGTCTTTAACCGGTCTTTAATTAGTGACTTTAAAAGTTTTTAATCAGCGAATATATCCTCTAAAAATAAGAATGAAATAAAGACATTTTCAGATAAAGGAAAACTAAAAGAATTTGTATCCAGCAGACCTCAACTACAAGAAATGCTAAAGGAAGTTCTTTAGGCTGAAGGAAATGATATATCAGAGGAAGAGTTATATCAACAACAAAGGGATAAATAACACTGGAAATGGTAAATATTTGAGCAAATATAAAGACTAGGCACTTTTTTCCTTTCTTAATTTCTGTGAAAGACAACTGACAATTTAAAACAAGAATAATGGCATTGTTTCGTGGGGTTTGTATCACATGCAGAAGCAGAATATTTGAGAACAAGCACAAAGTATGAGGATAAATGGAATTATTTTACCAAAAAAACCTCAATTTACAGTAGTAGGAAATATAAATAAAATACTTAGAAATAAATTTTTTAAAAGAAATTCAAGATTTGACCACTGAAAACTATAGTATATCGTTGTAATAAGGTAAAGACTTAAATAAATGGAAAGACATTCCATGTTCATGGATTGGAAGAGTTAATATTGTTAAGAGGGAAATTCTCCACGAATTGATTCATAGATTCAATGAAATGCCTATCAAAATCCCAGCTGCCTTTTATTTTTGTAGAAATTAACAAGCTGATCCTAAAATTCATATGAAAATTCAAAGAATCCTGAAGAGCCAAAACAATCGTATAAAAGAAATACAAATTTGGAGGACCCACACTTCCCAATTTTAAAGCTTAGCACAAAGCTACAGTAACCAAAACTGTATGGTACTTGCATATGGATAGACATACAGCTCAATGGAATAGAATTGGGAATCTAGAAATAAGCGTATACATTTATGGTCAATTGATTTTTGACAAATGCCAAGACAATTCAATGTGAAAGAATAGACTTTCCAATAAATATTGCTAAGACAATTGGATATTCACATGCAAAATAATGAATTTGGACCTTACTTTTCACCATATCAAAAAGTAATTCAAAGTGAATCAAAAACCTAAATGTAAGAGCTAAAACTATAAAACTCTTAGGATAAAGCATAGCTCTTACGAGAAGGTCTTCATTACTACTTGGATGAGGCAATGGCTTCTTAGACATGACACCAAAAGTTGAAATAACAAGAGAAAAAATAGATAAATTGGACTTTCTAAAAATTAAAAACTTATGTGCTTCAAAAGACACTAGCAAGAAAGTGAAAAGACAACCCACAGAATGGGAAAAAATATTTGCATATATCTGATAGGGGACTTGGATCCAGACTATATGAAGAACTCTTACAATGCAACAAATAACGCAGTTGACAAATGGGCAGAGGATTTGAACAAGCTCATTTCTCGAAAGGAAATACACAAAAGTGCCAATAAGCACATGAAACGCTCAACGTCATTAGCCAACAGGAAATGCAAATGAAAACCACACTGAGATACAACTTCACACCCAACAGGATGGCTACCACTAAAAAAATAGGCTATAACAAGTGTTGGTGAGGATGTGGAAAAATTAGATCCCTTGCACATTGCTGATGGGATGGTAAAATGGTGTAGCCACGTTAGACAACAGTTTGGCAGTTCTTCAAAAAGTTAAACACAGAGTAACCATATGACCCAGCAATTTCACTCCTAGGTGCATACCAAGAAAACTGAAAATATATGTTCACACAAAAACTTGTACACAATGCTCATAGCAGAATTATTCATATTAGACAAAAAGTGGAAATCATCCAAAGTCCATCATCTGATGAATGGATAAACAAAATGCAGTATATCCACACAATGGAATATTGTTTGGTCATAAAAAGGAATGAAGTATTGGGGCCAGCCTGGTGGCGTAATGGTTAAGTTTATGCACTCCGCTTCGGCAGCCCAGGGTTCACAGGTTCAGATCCCAGGTGCAGACCTACACACAGTTTGTCAAGCCACACTGTGGTGGCGTCCCACTAAAAGTAGAGGAAAATTGGTACAGACGTTAGCTTGGGGCCACTCTTCCTCAAGCAAAAAGAGGAAGATTGGCAACAGATGTTAGCTCAGGGCCAAGCTTCCTCACCAAAAAAAGGAAAAAAAAGGAATGAAGTATTGATACATGCTTCACATGGGTGAACCTTGAAAATAATATGCTAAGTGAAAGAAGCCAGGCACTAAAGGCCACGTATTATATGCTTCCGTTTATAGGAAATGTCCAGAATAGGCAAATTCATACAGACGGAAAGCAGATTAGTGTTTCCCAGGGGCTTGCGGAGGGGAGCGGGGGGAGGTGACTGCTAATGGGTATGGAGTTTCTTTTTAGGGAGATGAAAATGTCCTGGAATTAGATAATGGTGATGTTTGTACAACTCTCTTAATATGCTAAAATCCACTGAATTATATACTTTAACAGGGGTAAATCTGATATTTGAATTATATCTCAACTTTAAAACTTGAAGAACTCTGTAGAAAGACATAAAATAAAGGCTGTCTTACTTGGGACAGGAAAAAGTCAATATTATAAAGATGTCAACCTTCTCTGAATTAATCCATAAATCCCATGCAGGTCCAATGAAAATCCTAATAGGACTTTTTTCTCACTTGACAAAATGATTGTAAATTTCATTTGGGAAAATAAACATGAAAAAGCCATAAGAAAAAAATCTGGAAAATATAAAACTTAAGGTGGTTGAGATAACAGAATTAGCTCTCCTGGATATTAAATTATGTGTGTGTTGAAATGCTACAATGTTTAAAAGCATATCCAGCAAGGTATTTTTCAATTTTTAATTTTTAAAATAATGTAAATATATTACTTTTATAATAACAAAACAATAAATCAAACAAAAAAGCAAATGAAAACAGAATACTCAATGTACCCCCTTCTCCATCGCTAGTTTATTATATTTCAGGCAGAAAATCCCTCTTCTTTCAATGTATGCATGATTTCACATGCGCGATTTCAAGTTGCTTTTTCAGCCTTGTTAGTTTTCTCTGAATATAGATCAATTTATGGATAGTCCCCCTAGAGTTTGGAACCTAACCTGACTTTTGATGTGGACAGATTGGCACAGAATAAAGGTCTACTTTCTTGGTTATTCTGGTTACTTCATTTACATTAATGCATCCTAAAATCATATTAGCCCTTTTGGGCAGCTAATTCACAATGTTGACTCGTATTGAGTCAAAGACTACCGACTAAAGTCTTTTGACCTGCTCATCCTCAGTGCTGCTGAGCCAAAGCTGTCCTTATCATCTTGTGCTTTGTGCAGTTGATATTTGGAATAAAGTATATGACCTTACCTTTATTTCCGTCAAATTTCATCTCAGTCCACTTGTCCCAATCCTTTGTACTTGATGCAATCATTCAAGGTATCCATTAACTTGGCCAGTTCCATGATATCTGAAAATTTGTAAGGAACAATCCTTAGATCATCATCCGAGTCACTGATGAAAATGATTACCAGAACATCTTGGGGGACACAGACTACAGATACTATGAAAAATTCTTTATGCATTAATTAGTTCCTCTAGTGTTTCTGGCATCTAGGCCAAAGGTCCTCTGACCTTAGTGAATTTAAAAGTCTCATGGGTAGCTTGAAAATTCCCTGGAATCACCTCTAGAGATTCTGATTCCATAGGTCTAAAATGAGGTCCAACAACTGGCAGTTAAAACTAACATCCACAGAACTCTCAGATTTATGTGGGATTGTAGTTCTTGCCATGGTTATAGGCATATTGGAGAGGTCATGTCATGCACCTTGCTGAAGGCAAGAAGAGGCAGTGTGCACTGAATTTACTTCACCTACCAGCCTAGCTCCCTGTCAAAGAAGGGAATGGGGTTAGTCTAACACAAAACGCAAATTACCTTCTTTGAACAATGTTGCCTATGTGCTCACAAGCCATTTTTTAATAACCAGTCCTAGAAGCCTACTTTCAAGCATTTTTATTGAATTAACAAATATTTGGGGGGCCTGGTGTATGCCAAATATTATGCTAGTCTATACTCCCACCAGTGGTAAGAGCTTTTCCTTGCACCCATGTTCACATTGGGTCTTATTCGTCACTGTACTTAGTTAGACAAGACAGGATAAATATATCTCTTATTTTTTTAACTGAGATATAATTGACATACAACATTATAGTAGTTTCTGGTATACAATATAATGATTTGATATTTGTATATACTGTGAAATGATCACCACAATAAATCTGGCTACATTAGTGTTATTTTAATTTGCATTTTTATATTTTTGATAATTAAATTGAAAACTTTTTCATATTTTTCTTATTCATCACAAATGCCCTACTGATTCCCATTTATCACTTGCTATATTAATTTTTTTTCTAATAAACGTGTAAGTCATTGCTGTTATTTTTAATCTGTTACATGCGTTGCGAATAGTTTTCTCAGTTTCTTTGTTTCTCTGTTTTCAGTTTGTCGTCTTTCAACCTTTTAATGATTTTGTTCTTTTATAGCAAATATGTTTCTATTTCTTATGTAGACAAAGTTAATAACCTTTTTATTGTAGTTTCTGCCATTATTTGAACTCGTGCTAAAAAGTCTTCCTCCAAGATTATGTAAATATTCAATTATATTATCTTTAGAATATAATCTTTTATGTTTTTGTATTTTGTTTGTTTGATACCTTTGTATCTTTTATGTATTTCCATATTTCTTTTAAAATATAATCCTTCAAAAATCTGGATCTGTTAATAGCAGTATGGTTTAAATACTAAAATTTGAAGAACTCCCTCAATGTATCATAAGATGAGATTAGTTGATTATGTAGAACATTCATAAGACAGATGTGCAAATGGAATTTTGTTCCAGAAGGATATTTTCTAACATGAACATATTCACAATTTAACGTTATGTGAAACTAAACAGAACTTCACACAGACACACACACACATACATACATATTCCAATTCTGTAAAACAAATACTGTGTATATGTTCATAAAAAACAAGGAATTGGACAAGAGGCAAGGATAGATTACTATTATGTATGCGAAAATGTTACCAGTGTTTGTCACTGCATTGTGAGGTAATGGATATTTTCATATCTTGCTTGCTTTTACTATTTTCCAGAGTTTCCACAATAAACATGCTTTGACAACAAAACATGACACATGTAGCTTAAAGCTAAAACTATGTACTGTGTTGAATTCTAAAAACTTCGATCAAAACAGGAAAATATGGTAAAGTAGAAAGTAGAAACTATTTGATTTTAGATGACCTGCGTAATATTTGGAAGTTATTTAGAAATGTTTGTTTTCAAATATAACTGTGTTGTCATTGTGAATCATCAATGCCCAAACCAAGTCAGTAATATACTTACTGTTAAGGAGCACAAATTAACTATTTCTATGTTGCCGTATGCAAATATAAATATACTACCACATTTTACTAAATATGGAGGCAGCATATTTCCTCACTTAAACTCTTACATTTACATGATTTTTTAATAGTCAATTAGAAACACAGTTCTGGGACAAGAGTTTCAACAATATGAAGATTTAGGTGGCTTATTGCGTTGCAGGTCCCCAGGACCGCCCCAGGTTTGATGATTTGCTGAGAGGATTCTCAGGACTCCGCATAAAGTAATACCCACGGCTATGACTGATTACAGCTAAAATATCAAAGCAAAATCAAAACGAAGGCCAAAAGAAATCATGCCCAAGCTTCCAAGAGTTTTCTCCTAGTGGAGTCACATGGCACACATTTAGTTCCCCAGCAATGAGTTGTGACAACATGTGTGAAATGTTGACTACCAGAGAAGCTAATTAGAGACTCAGCGCCCAAGGATTTTACTGGGGGCTGGTCACGTAGGCACCTTCTGCCTAGCATGTTCTAAAATTCCAGACTCCCAGAAGGAAAGCAGGTGTTCAGCAAAAACCACATTATTTGTACAAACTCTCTAGGGACAGCAAGCCACCCTTCTCAGTTATAGGAATGGTGGGAGCCTTCTAAAACTCCGAGTTCCCAGACACCAATCAAAGGGCTGCCATGCAAGCAGGCATTTCCAAGGACAGCAGCCTCGGGCCTGCAATGTTAACTCTTTTCTGCACACCTACGTTCACTTTCAAGGTACAAGTTACCAAGTTACCAGATGTGGGAATCACAAACACACACGTATCAGGCTCATCCATACTCAAAGAAAGTTAAACAAAGAAAAAGTAAATGAATAAAGTCGTACCCTAAAATTTACTTTTATTGGGCCCACGAATAAATTATTTGATAAGCTACCAATTCAGAAGGGATCAGAAATTAAAACATTACAATACTTTCCTAGATTTGTAGAATTAATGTACATTTGTTATAGAAAATGTGGAAACTCAGAAAAATATTAAAGAAATAAGATTCACTGAAACCCTCAATCATAGACTACCATTGCTAGCTTTTTCTCTTCACGTGCATATTTAACATAGTTGATACCACGCTTAATATTAAACTTTACTTTAGTTACCTCCATTTTTCCACGCCACTGAAAATTCCTAATAAACATTTTTTCAATAAGGAAAAGTATTTTATCTCTGGTTATAATATAATTTCTAAAGCCTTCTCCCTTCTGTTGGATATATAGGTTGCTTCCTGTTATGGATTTTTATAAACCCTCACAAAGCCCTTCAATGGCTTCCTATCGCTCGTAGAATAAAGGTCAAAATCTTTCATATGGTCAACAAGGCCCCACATGATGCCGGGCCTCCCTCCCTCTCAACTCCAGTCCACTCTTCCTCATTCCTTCTCTTCACTCAGTCACCATGGCCTTCCCTGAATTCCTCAGCTGTGTCACTGTCTCTCATTTCCTGGTTTTCACATGTGTAGGTAGCTCTTACCTTATATTCTACAATTATCATAGTTTTAATTACTCGTGTAATTATGTAAGTGTACAAACTTTTTAGATGTATGTCTCCCATAATAGGTGGGAATCTCCATGAAGGCAGAGACAATACGTAGCTTGTTCACTGATAGACTCCCAGTGCTGCATGTCAAACCTGGAACATAAACATACAAAGACAAGTGTATAATTAAAGAATAAATATATAAGTAATGGGATTCTATCTTTATATGAATTTTTTAATCACTTAGTATATTTGATAACTTTATTCAGTGGATTCCTACAATTCTTAAGCTATCATTAAGTATTTTCTTTTTGTAAAGCTTTCATTTCCGCATTATACTTTTTAATTATCTATTATGGTAAATAGTTAAAAACATTTAATTCTGGACATATTTTTCTTTAATGTGGGTCTTTTACTTGATGATTTTATTAATTCTAGGAATTTTTAGATTTATTCTTTGGAGTTTTCTCCAAATCACAATGACTGTGACCTATGATACTTTGAGTAACGCTATTATATTTTATCAAATATTATATTACACTCACTTTTAGTAGTTACATGTCAACTTTGACTCAATATTTATTTCATAGAGTACTTTTTAAAATTTCCTTGTGGACAGGTGTTTTGCTTAAGATATGTTTAAAAATCAATCTCTATGTCTTTTAGTATCTGCTTTTTGGAACTTATGGAGGTTTCATTCTAGGTACTTCATATAAGGTGTTTACCTACAGATTTTTGTTTGTTTGTTTTTTAATTGGATTGTGGGCTAAAACTGAGTTGGGGGCAGGGAGGAGTTTTCCCTTTGCTGGGTTGTGGAGGAATTGGAAGGCCTAGACCCTCCTGCAGGGCACAAGGTCAAGGACACTCTATTCGTGGGCTGACAACCAGTTCCAACAACTTGGTAACAGGGTGGGGGCAATAAGACAGATGCCCTGGAGGGTCCTGGGAATGGGGAGTAGATTTTGGGTTACAAATCTCAGAAATACTCCTATCTAATATTCAGTATTTTCTTTTCTATGTTGAATCTTCTCTTGTTATCTGGTATTGTTAGGAGAGTTCAGTTGTTAAAGCCTGAGTATCAATCGATGGGCCCATGTCCATATTTGGGTTGAAGCTGTACAGGGAGAACTCTAGTGGCCTAAGAAGCCAGTTAAGAAATAATAAGAAGTTATCATCCAAAGATCAGAGATGCAGGCCAGAGGGAAACCGCTGGCCCAAGTGTGCAGTGAAATCTAGGACTGATCTGGGGAAGGCCTGAGTATTCTACAGGGAGTCCCAGAGACCTTGGGGAGGGGAAAATGGGAAAGCCCGACTTCCCTGTGGTCAAACATAATGAGGGCTCAGATCCTTTCATTTAGAATTAAAGGAAGTGCTACCTCTGACAACCGCAGAGGTCAGCAACCTCTGGGTTACAAACCAATAAATTCTTTTAATAGGCAGTCAATGAGACAGAAACGACTTTTCCAGATGCTCTTGTATCTTCCCACTCTATAGTACTATGAGTACTACACTAAAGCTCTATTCCAAAATACGTGATATTAACAACTTTGTTTTAAAAAAACATTAAATATAGATGAAGGTGAAATAAATGCGGCATCTTCGTATATGGTAATATGAATAAAGAGCCACAAAATAGTTGTGTAATTAATCCTAGAAATTCTACTTAACGAAAATATCTTAAAATAACAATTTAAAAATATAGGGGAAAGCTTAAAGAGGGGTAAAAAACAAAATAAACTCAAGTTAAAAATGCCTTAAAACTTCAAAATGAAAAGCAAAAAGTACTGATTCATTAACAGAGATAGCACTGATTAATAGTGATAAGGAGAAATATATATTATTTAAACTAGTAACACAGTATAAAAGTTTTGGAATCTCATAAAATTAGAGAGATAAGTAAAACAGGCAGCAGCATGAGTGAAAAAGGGCAAATAATATTTTAAGCAATTAAAAGTATTTAAATATCTAAAAATATTAAGTTACAAAAGGACAGAAGTATATGGTCTGCAAAATATGCTCCCATGGCTTCGAGTTCCTGGTAAAATGGAGAGCGGCCAACTGTGGCACCGGCAGTAGGGGCCTCTTTACTAGCTTCACTAACTCTTCTTTCTTTCTTTCCTCTTCACTGTCTATTCTAACTTATGTTGAGGCTAGGGCATACATCTTCCTCAGAAGATAGAAATAGCTCTTAGTGGTTTCCCTTCTTACAGTGCACATTTTGGGGGTTGAACCAGTTTCTGAGCTCACTGAGATCAGGTTGTAACAATTAACCAAATTCTACTAGTAATACCAGCCCTTTCCTACTTGTTCATAAGTGCCAAAGCATGGAAATATATGAAAAAAAGTGTCCATCATAGTGTTACTTATACCGGTAAAAAAAAGGAGACAATCTAAAATGACCAGGAGTGGGAAAATAATTAAACATCCCATCATAAGTCAGCTCAGGGACATACTTTGGAACCCTTAGAAAATAATGATTTTAAAGACGCGACCTGGGAAAATTCTTAAGATCAAATAATAAAGGTAAAAACAATATAAAATATACAAATGTGATGAGCATACATCAAATTTACAAAACATACTGAAAGCTAACATAACAAAATGCTAATAGCTATTATTAAGGTCACAGGTTATGGATTTTTTCTCTACTTTTTTTGGAACAGCAAAATTGCTTTTATAAGAAAAATTATACGTGAAAATACATGTGAAGTCTGTTTGTTTCCATGGTTTCTGGGACATAACCGAAAACCAGAAGGTGATTAGGGCTATGTGGTAGCCAGCCACTCAGATTCCCACTTTCAGCCTTTCCAGTGGGTGTTCCCAAAGGGCTCAGAATCCTGAGAGCCTCATACTGTCTTGATTCAGCCATATTGAAAGTTTTTAAAGAGCATCACCAAAAAGAGGATGCTGTCATAGAAGAGACGAATGATAAACTTCCAGGAGAAAAAGGGTGGGACTCTAATACTGAGCAACAGCATACATTTTTTAACCTACTATCTCCATTTTATCTCTTTTTTTTTCCCAACTTTATTAAGGAATAATTGACAAATATAATCATATATATTTGAAGTGTACAATGTGATGATTTGATGTTGTGATTTTCATTGTAAAATGATTACCAAGATCAAGATAATTCATAACCATCTTGATCATGTGAGGTATGATCATGTGAGGTAATCATCTATTACCTCACATAGTTAACCTTTGTGTGTGTGTGTGCGTGCGCGGGCGCGGTGAGAAAGCTTAAGATCTACTCTCAGCAAATCTCAAATATACAGTACTTGAATTATTAAGTATTATATAAGTATTATTAAGTATGGTCACCATGCTGGACATTAGATTCTCAGAACTAATTCATCTTATAGCTGCAAGTTTGTACCCTTGACCTACACCTCCCTACTTCCTCCTCCCCCTAACCCCCGTAAGGAGTCTTCCAGATAATGTGATACTACAAATTGTTAATCATTTGTGTGGCTTCAAACAGATATTATTTATGTCTACAGATACAGATTTATGTATGGGTGCAAGCTTTACTTAAAGGAGAGACAGGTTGAATGCTGGTGCAAGAGAACCTCAGCCTCTCCTGCACTGTCCTGGATCCAGAGACCCACCAACAATGATGACCATGTGCTTCCTAGAAGCCCATTCCTCCCAGCCCAAATGCATATCTAGGCAAAACACTCTTCAACCACCTACAGAACTCTCCCCAAGAGTAGTTGTGCTAAATACAATTTTCTCCATAGAGGGACATTGCCAGTAATGTTTTAGTACCTCTACGACTAGAGATCTAGGCAGCTGTCATGTTGGCTCACTGGTTTCCAACAATAGGAAATCAGGTCCACAGTAAAAAATCAGAGTGGTTGACTTTGGAGGAATGGACAGGGGCAGGGATTGTCTAGGAAGAAGCCCAAGGGAACTTTCTGGAATGAAGGTAATGTTCTACATCTTAATAGAAATTTGAGCCATACAAGTGTATGCATTTGTTAAAACTCAGGAAATTAATACTTAAGACTTGTGCATTTCATTGTATGTAAGTTTTACATCAGAAGAAAAAACTATAAACTAATATCCAACTCTTGTTAATGATACGCATGATATAGTATATTGATGTCAGTATATGAGGTCTACAGTTTACTTTGAATTGCGTATTAAAAATGAGACAGATTAATACATGGCTAGAGGGATGGATAGATAGATATGTGACAAAGCAAGAATAGTGAAATGTTATTAATAGAATGTAGACAGTGGGCATAGGGGTGTTCACTCTCAAATTTGCTCAATGTTGCTGTATGTTTGAAAATTTTTCATAATAAAATGCTGGAGGGAAAAAGAAATCAACTCACATCCTCAGGCTCAGCTCTAAATAAATTACGAAGTAAGTATATTACCTTGCTGTATTCTCCTCCAGTGACCTCCTCTACTCCTGATCATTTTAATTTTTTGGAGGAACAGCTTCATTCTCCCCTCAAAAATAGAACTACCTGTATTGTTTCAGTATACTGAACATCACAAGGCTCAACTTTAATTACTTTGCCTAATCTGGAGTACTCGAGTATTAGCTAAAGTTCTTCAGTTGTGATCACCATATACTGACTAACTTACACAAATAGGGAATTTATTGGAAGGATACAGGGAAGCTCACAAGACTGAAGGAAGGCTTGGAAACCAGGCATGGAATGTACAGAAACTAGATTACTTCACAGAGTTTAGGTAGCAGGAAGTATAGTGTTGTCCCAGGAACTGACACCATAATGGGTCAACTCCAGTAACTAACAGCCTGTCATCACTGTGCTCATAATTAAAATTTCAGGCAGAGAATTTCCAACTGGCCTTCTTTGACCATTAGACTGTATTTAAGGGGAGAAAAAATAATTTCCAAATGGAAATTTGGGTGCTTTTACCAAAACAAACTGCAATGGATGCTGGAAAGCCAACAAGCAAAACAAAAAAGCAAAATAAAACAGACACTACAGTGCCTTGAATTATTTCAGTGGTACATTTTTCTGTCACCCTTCACAAGACACTCAATTCTGGTATTATTTACTCAAACACCACTCTGTTTTTCACTTCCGTCTATCTCCCCTGTTTTGGTACTCCAACTTTGACTGTGACCATCTTAAAATCTCCACCAAAATTTCCTAGATTGTATT